AAATCTATATAAGGTGATTTAAAACTAGAGAAAGAAACTTCAAGGAGAGGAGGGTACACCTAGACGACTTGGAATTGCATAGCAATACAATTGTAACGAGATGGGGGGAAATTAGGGGCTGTCACAGGAAAACTCTCAACAGCTATCTGCAAAAGTGTTAGAGTGGAAAATATGAATACACCATGATCTCGAATTAACATTTAAAGACTATAAGCTCAAAATAAGTCTGACTTTCCCAATAATGAAATAGTTCGAAATTTCATAATGCTGCACTGCTTGGAATCTTGGACGCTCTGAAATAAGCCAGTCTTCCATTGGACATTCGCAGAAGCCATTAAGATGCAGGATTTCAAAACGCCCAATGCATTTCAGTACATTCAAAATTCCATGCCTTACGCCATTACGAAATATCAGAAACCTTCCTCGTCAGGAAAATGAGGACTTATTACGATCTTTAAATGGCAGTTTAGGAACAAGATGAATTCCAACAAATTTTTCTCCCTACTACATCTGATCAGCTACAAGATAAACAAGGATATAGGAATGACAAGCCAATAATGGATGGGAAAACTCTTTATTTAGAGATAATTTACAATTTCATTCTCACAAGTGTTTTTGACTGTTCACCCCTTATCTCATTAAAACTGCATTTTTGACTCTGCAGTGCTATTTGATTCCAAGTTGTCAAGGTGCACCCTAACCCTCCTAGAAGTTTGTTTCTATAGTTTTAAATCCTCCTATATATATGCATATATATAATTTGAAATATGGTAACATTTCTATAAATTTTCATACAGTATTTTTTATCCTTTAGGTATGGATACTTATTATTTTAATTTAAGACACATTTCCTAAAATATAAATGTTACATAAATTAGATAATTGCGAGTATACTAATGAATCTAATAATATGGTCATATATTATAGCGATTCCTTAACACAAATTAGTAATAAAACTTTTCAGTGTTTCATAAAGAAACATATATTTTTTAAACATGGTGTTTCAAATAGGATTTGAAAAAGTAACTGAAAATAACATTAAACCTGCTCAGTTAGTATGAAACAGATGTGCTTCCCCTATTAAGATCAATCAAATCAGTCGTCAAGTAGAAATTTAAAATATCTGACAAACATTACTTACAATACTCTTAAGTGTTAAATTACACACAAGATAACAAAAGAAAGAGACTACAGGTATATATTGCTTAAATAAATAGATTTCAATTAGTCGAGAAATGTTACAAGTGAAATCAATTTCAGAAACTTATTCAAATTTGATTTTGCAAAGTTTAAAAAAAATCTAACTTTTTTTTCAGTCACAGAACATTCACAGTCAGAAAATGATAGATAAAATAATTAGCAGTAAAACAAATCAATCCATCTTTCCAAAACAAAACAGTAATTGAGGTAATGTCCTACATTTACATTGAATTTGAGCAATATTCATGCACATACTTGTACCCATCATACACATTTAACTGTCTGGAAATAAAATATGTAGACATACAGAGATGTTATAAAAAATTAACTTGATTCCCACATAAAGTACACTTGTAATTGATCTATTTCTTGGTATTGTTTGAAATATCTAGTTCAAATTCTAATACATCATATTATGGATGACAACATACTTGAAATCACTTCACCATATTAGGACCAAGGTCCTCTGTTAATAGAGTTCTGTAACTAATGCAGATATCTCTACATCACCAAAATAGAAATACAACATAATAGTTAAGGCGAGCTTTAGCTAATAAAGTAGGAAGATACTATAATGGGTTGGTGATAATGCATCTGAAATACATGGTGCCTTTTAATACAACCAATATCAAAGTTTCATTTTATCTAACCTAAAATTTCAAACTGAAATGTTTTCCTTCAATATGTTAATAATTTCTTTTATTTGGTACCTCAAAAGCTGAAATATAACAAAAGGTTGTTATATTTCAGGTTTCATCAATAAAAAATATGCTAAGCCAAATATATCAATACAAAATTTTTTAAATAAAAAGTAACTTATGATTTTCCATTAAAATGTAGAATAAATAGGCTTTTTGAGTAAGCTCTTTCTTTTGGTTGGATGGCATTTTCTGTATAAAAAAGTGAAGATTCCATTATCTGTTTAAATAAAAATAAGTTATTTAAGAAGTTATGAACATATTCAGTATGTTAAAATAAGAGATATCGTGGTATTTTTATAAAATTACATACATAGTTGACCTAAAGAAGGATATGAATAATCTATTAACAATTCAAAAATCAGAATGTTTTGCTTCAAATCTAAACTTTATTTTCAGCATACTCTGTGATATAAGTAAAAGAGAAATTTATAATTAAAAAATGCTTCCAATCAAACCTTCATAAAAATTATTCACAACAGCTAACTTTAAACCATTATAAAAATTATTTTGATTTTCCAATATAGTAACTGCTGAAAGGATATCTTCTCATGTCTTCATTTTTAATAACAACATTAAATTCTTCAGTCTGCTTACACTGTATCAGACAAATAACCACAGAAACAACACTGCTCACTGAATATGACTATTTAGATCAATATAATAAAAATTAAATGAATTTTTCTTTATGAAACAATATTGGTATGTAATGGTAATGCACTAAAATACAAATTTATGTCTCTAATTCTAATCAACTGTAAGAGAAACACGTACACATAAAATTAAAAATTCGGCAAAAATACAACTTTACTTTGGTATAGATTTTAAATAAAAATTTGGCACAAAAAATGTTATCCCTTCTTCCATTTTGCAGAAAAAATCCTTTGCTTTTGAAGAGAGGTAACCTGGTTTCTGACTGCCCACAAAATCAATACAGTACAAAGCCCAAAATACAGACATCTAATATTCAGACCAACAACAAAGGGAGAAAAAAAAAATATGATGATGATAATAGCAATAAAAACCACACAACCATAAGAATAAAAAAGTTCAGGAATGCAGAATAGCATATTCAACCATTTAAAAAAAGTGTATCATAAATGCAGTTTTTTTCTCTTCTGGCTAAGAGTTCTGCATGTTGCTTTCTAATACCTGCTAGCTAGGGAATTACACTGTGAAAGCATGCTGATGTTGGCAACATTCATACTTTTGGCCCTTGAATGGTTATGAAGGGCAGGGAGGGGGGTTAGTAATTTTTTGTCTGACTTAAACAATAAATGAAGCCCCAATGCTATCTTGTTTACATGTCATCTTACTAGAAACTGATGACCTAAAATCCGGAAACGTCCAAAATTTGAAATCATTGAAGTTCCAACAATTAAGATGGACTCTGTACTGTAGTTTTTATTCATAACCTACACCACAAGTATAAGTTACAGAGAGAGAATAATTTATTTCTTGAGTCTTCAAAGTTATAGTAATTGCGGACATTTACTTCAATGAAATAGAATAATTAAGGTTAGGTAATCGTAGAAAGAAAAAAAGTTGTAAAAGATTCAGCAATGCTTGTTCTTCACTAAAGCTGTCTCTACAGCCTTTTTCAGACATATTTTTAAAATATATCAGTATTTCTTGGAAAGGCAGACCTTCTTCAAGAGTTTTATAAAGGAGTGCAAAATTTATTACTTTGTAAATATTAAATGTAATATACCTTGACCATCATTAGAGGAAAGAAAATTCGGTAAAATCCTAGTATACGGTACGGCCTTGGTGCAATTTTGAAAATATTCAGCAACACCAAAATGACTCGTTTACTGATCATCTTGTCATCACCAAATCCTGTGTGTAATCCCGTATTACTAGGATTAAACAGAAAATTATAAATTGCAATAAAATTCTTAAATTGAAGAGATTTTAACCCCTGAAGTAGGAGATCATGAAGCATGCCAATACTTCAACAATTAAATTTACTTTAATTTCCCTATATATATATAACATGCTCTTTTTCCTCATTAAATAAATAATTATGCTTGCTTCATAAATAAATTAAAAATAATTTTAAAAAATTTCTGCACACAGATGAAATTGCAATCATATAAAAATACATTAAAAAAATATTACTACATATTGCAAAATAGCTATAAAATCTGATAATGTTTCATACTTCTACATGCAACAAAATGCAAAATTAACCGTTGACATACAAAGCCTCACAACCCAGGCTGGTCTTATAAAGTTCCCATATGAAATTTCTTACTCAAAAAGAAAATAATCTTGTATTTTTATTTCTACACAAGATGAAGATAATGAGGGAAAAAAAAAAAAAAAAACCAGCTTTTCTCGGTTAATAATACACTGGAAAAAAAAAAAAAAAAAAAAAAAGAATATAAATCTAGCTGAAGATAAAAAATTTCATCTTCTTTGATATAATAATGCTGCAACAGCTTTACAAATAAACTGCAGACAGTTGGTTAGTTTTGCTACATAACAGAAAAGAGAAACAATTTTATCAGAAGTTACTGATTTATCAGGTATACTCTATATTAAAAAGAAAGCTGATCAGCTAACACACAAGCATAAAAATTAATTTTTAATCATATTGTAAAATAAAATAACCGAGATGAAAATCATATAATATCAGTATATAAAAATCTGACAACAAATGCAAGATAAATTATACAAATGTTTTAAAGATAGTAATTATTTCATGAATTACAGTGACAACTTCTAAAATTATATTTAATTATTTTTAAAACAATTATTTATACTAATGAACTAGAAATTGGCATATTTCTTAATTACCATAAAAATACCATAAATTCTAGAGCCAATGAAGAGGATACATACTCAAAAGAATTCCATGCTTCATTATATATTTCACAATGAACACAAGACTACATGGCACAGCACATGTAATATAATCAATGAGGAATACAGTTTCAGAAATATAGATGCAACATTCTAAGGAGAAGATAACACACTTAAAAGAATGGAAACAGTTCTACATATATCCATATCAATGAACTCAGTACCTCAGTGAAATCATTCGTCTTAAACACATCGCACATAAATCACTTGTCTTAGCACATCTTCAAAATATGCTGAAAATCTGTTACATAATTACCACAAAGAACATTAAAAAAACTTGACGCCTTCAATTTCTTCATCAAGAATTAATTCAGCATGACCATCTTTTTCTAAAGTAGCTAATGCTTTTTTCAATACACCTCGGTCTAGGCCGTAAACTCTTCATTGGTAGCATCATCACCATTAGTTATTTCATATAAAGTACATACAGAATTAAGCAAACCATTATTTTCAGCCCATGCATATATCATTTTACCCCATTCTTCTGGGGTACGCCAAAAAACGTAACACTGTTGACGTTGTTTATCAAACCATTCGACATTTCCTTGCTTTTGTAATTCATCAAGGATCAAGTATATCACATTTAGAGCTAACTTCCGACGAATTGACTTATTATAAAATAAAGAAGAATTCTGAGCTTCTGTGACATCTAAAACATATTTCTTGTTAGCCTTGTGATAATCTAGAATCAGAGTTTTCCACGCCTCAAACTGCTTGGCGCGAGTATCAGTATTCGGCTGAAGAGTAAAAAAAAGGAGGAAAATTATACTGCCAAGGCCAATCAAAATCAGTGTTTCCCATTTTAACACGAAATATTCCGGCTAAAACCTATAAAAGAAGTTCATAATAAAATCTAAAGGCATACAATTCTGACATTCATCAGATAATTTATCAGACAGACAGACAAAAGTATATGTAGATTTCTGCACATATCATGTCTTTCTGCCCACAAGCGAAAAACTCGTAGTATGAAAAATAGAAACTCAGCAGGAAACTCGCCCTCTCGGAGGAAAGTGACTCAAACAGAACTAATGCTGATATTAGTAGCACACACACACACACAGATCGTATTTTGTTCTCGAGTGTCATGATGTAGAAACATCTTTTTACTCGACTTCTGATAAGGATCGGGTGGGAGGAGAAAGAGTAGAGTGGAAGGAAGTGTCGGAGGCGGAAAAAAGAGAGTGAGGTCCGCACTAGCGGCGGTGAAAAAAAGGGGTGGTGGCAAGTTCAGTGTCGTTATAAGATGTAGCCGTGGGTGGTAAACCGAAGACTAACATTAACTTAAAACATCTGCCGAGTAACTTTATCACCAAATTTACTAGTGTTTTCAATGCTTGCATTTCAAACTCTTACTACCCCAAACCCTGGAAAGTTGCAAAGATCATCATGATACCCAAACCGGGGAAAAATCAACTTCAACCAGACGTATTTCGTCCAATAAGTCTGCTCCCGAGCCTAAGCAAAGTCTTTGAAAGAATTCTACTGGAAAAAATGAAGTCTTATCTCACCTTACTGCCCCCTGAACAATTTGGGTTCAGAGCTCACCTTTCAACTTCCAAACAACTAGTAAAGATTGACTGAGTTTATATGCTCAGCTCGTCACCTTAATCAAAATGTTGCTATCCTCTTCTTCGTCAGGAATTAATTCAGCATGACCATCTTTTTCTAAAGTAGCTAATGCTTTTTTCAATACACCTCGGTCTAGGCCGTAAAACTCTTCATTGGTAGCATCATCACCATTAGTTATTTCATATAAAGTACATACAGAATTAAGCAAACCATTATTTTCAGCCCATGCATATATCATTTTACCCCATTCTTCTGGGGTACGCCAAAAAACGTAACACTGTTGACGTTGTTTATCAAACCATTCGACATTTCCTTGCTTTTGTAATTCATCAAGGATCAAGTATATCACATTTAGAGCTAACTTCCGACGAATTGACTTATTATAAAATAAAGAAGAATTCTGAGCTTCTGTGACATCTAAAACATATTTCTTGTTAGCCTTGTGATAATCTAGAAACAGTTTTCCCCGCCTCAAACTGCTTGGCGCGAGTATCAGTATTCGGCTGAAGAGTAAAAAAAGGAGGAAAATTATACTGCCAAGGCCAATCAAAATCAGTGTTTCCCATTTTAACACGAAATATTCCGGCTAAAACCTATAAAAGAAGTTCATAATAAAATCTAAAGGCATACAATTCTGACATTCATCAGATAATTTATCAGACAGACAGACAAAAGTATATGTAGATTTCTGCACATATCATGTCTTTCTGCCCACAAGCGAAGAACTAGTAGTATGAAAAATAGAAACTCAGAAGGAAACTCGCCCTCTCGGAGGAAAGTGACTCAAACAGAACTAATGCTGATATTAGTAGCACACACACACAGATCGTATTTTATTCTCGAGTGTCATGATGTAGAAACATCTTTTTACTCCACTTCTGATAAGGATCGGGTGGGAGGAGAAAGAGTAGAGTGGAAGGAAGTGTCGGAGGCGGAAAAAAGAGAGTGAGGTCCGCACTAGCGGCGGTGAAAAAAAGGGGTGGTGGCAAGTTCAGTGTCGTTATAAGATGTAGCCGTGGGTGGTAAACCGCAGACTAACATTAACTTAAAACATCTGCCGAGTAACTTTATCACCAAATTTACTAGTGTTTTCAATGCTTGCATTTCAAACTCTTACTACCCCAAACCCTGGAAAGTTGCAAAGATCATCATGATACCCAAACCAGGGAAAAGTCTAACTTCAACCAGACAGTATTTCGTCCAATAAGTCTTCTCCCGAGCCTAAGCAAAGTCTTTGAAAGAATTCTACTGGAAAAAATGAAGTCTTATCTCACCTTTACTGCACCCTGAACAATTTGGATTCAGAGCTTACCTTTCAACTTCCAAACAACTAGTAAGATTGACTGAATTTATATGGCTCAGCTCGTCACCTGTAATCCAAAATGTTGCTATTCTCATGCTGGATGTGGCGAAAGCTTTCGACCGTGTCTGGCATGAGGGTCTCATAGCGAAACTTATTGAATTCATGAACTTTGAACGTGAGCTCCTGCTAATTATTTTCTCTTTTATCACCAGCAAAAAATTTGTTAGTTTCTGTTCATGGTGCCTTCTCTTCAGAACATACAATTCACAGTGGAATTCCTCAAGGGAGTGTTTTGGGTCCAATTTTCTATCTCTTCTATGCTGCAGACTTCCCTTCTGTACTCTACAACAATAACTCAATTTTAGCTTGTTATGCAGACGACACTGGTTTTTCGGTGAAATCTGCAAATGTGAATCATGCAGTTAAAAAACTCCAAGACCACATCCCTTTCATAGAAGACTGGTGCAAAAAGTGGAAAGTACAAATTAATGCATCCAAGTCTCAACTACTCATCATCAGAAAAAAGAAAAAGAAAAAGAACCTCAAGAGGCAACTCCTATTGTTTAATGAACCCATACCTGTTGTGAAACATGCTAAGTACTTAGGAGTTACCCTGAATAGTAAAATGACATGGACTAACCACATTAATACTGTGAGAAATAAAGCCATCTATGTAATGAAGTGCTTGTATCCTATGTTAGGACGCTTTTCAAAACTTGATCTCACCAAAAAGAGATAATCTATCTCTCTACTATTCGTCCTATCATGACGTATGCCTCACCAGCCTGGAGTACTGTGACTAAAACTGACTTAAACAAGCTTCAGGTTGTGCAAAATCGTTTTCTAAGACTGATAACCAGCGCCCATTACTTTATGCGGAACGAAGTACTCCACAGGGACTTAAAAATCGAGCCACTACATACTTTCTTACGCAAAACAAATGACAAGTTCTTCAGGAAATCTAAAGACTGCGAACATCTGAATTTATTTAACCTATTTCATTACGAAATCTTAGACGAAGACAGACATATCCGTCCTTTTGCTGCTTTCATCCTGAATAGCAATCAGAACTTTCCTACGTAGTTGCTATCTATTTCATTTAGCGACTATTGAAACTCTAAGTCCAAAACGAAGCAGCATTCATCAGAGCCAGCACTTGGGATGGTGGCGTCCCACGTGACCTGTGCACACCGCTATTCAGATGTATTTTTCATGCAATCAAGCCTTCCTGATACTATGTACATATGTATATAATCTATATTTAACCTAGCATATTGTTTTTCAACTATTTATTCTGCACTTTATTTTATATTTTTCTTGTATTCTATATATGTTACTTTTTGACGTATATTTCAACACCAATCAGATGTCATCTCAGAGCTCACGTGACTTTAGTCACAGCCCTTTCTACATCTGAGCTTCCTGCACCGCCCAGCTCAAGCATTTCCCCATCTGCAGCGCTCTTAGTAGCAACTAAATCAAGACAGCCGGAACACAGCACGTAATTACTGCGTGCTAATCGCGGCTTAAAGAGGAACTTAGAACTTGGTAAACCGCAGAGTCAGTTTAGCGTGAATGAGTCAATTAAGGTTGCAGTGGCGACTCGTGGCTAAAATTACTGGGGGTGCTATTCCAAAAAATATTAACCTTTGTTTTAAAATTGTCTAAAAGGAAACAAACATGTATAAAAAGAAAATTTATTTTGAAACTTCATGAAATCTTACAAGAAAAAAATTAAACATTTCTTAATTACTTTAACCAAAATTGTTACAATTCAATCTTGCTCTATTGATTTAAAAATGAAATCCATTCTTCTTGTTTTAATTTGCGCGAGAAAAGATCAATAATTTTCTCCTTGATCTCTGGATGACAATTGAGGAAATTTTTCTTTATTGAAAGCAATGCAAGCGCATTTAGTCTTTTCGAATTCCTAGTGCTTCTTAGAAAAATTTTCATTTTTTTCAATGCTGAAAAGCAGCCTTTTGCCTATGATGTAGTTATGGGAACTCTCAGAATTTTTATCAGTTCGTAATTTCACTAAGTACATCATCTAGATTATTTTCAAAGATAAATTTCAGTAGCTCAATTAATTTGCAAGTATACGTTTAGTTCAGTTTCAATCTTTTCTTTGTCAATCATTGGTTATGCTTCAGTGGTCAGTACTATTTCTTCTTTCTTCTGTAGAATGTTCATTCCTAAAACAAGCGAAGCATTTCTTGTTTAACAATTTAGCAGCTCCTAAGTGTTTAATGGAAGAATATCAGTGCATTATATCAATACATAGTATAAAGTCACATATTTCTTTAGCTTCTGCCATCAGTGTTTTTAAAAAGTTCTCACAGTACTTTGAGTTTCTTAATTCTAAAATAACAGAGTTTTGAAATTTGTTATATATTCTTTAACTTTAAATTTTCTGGATTGCATTTAGTTGTAAATTATTTCAACATGAGGCATCTGATAAAAATGCTCTAACCAAAACTTGAAATTATCATTATTTAGATATTTTAAAATTCCTGTTGTTTTTGCAATAGTATAATCTGCATTTGATATTGATTGAATTTCAGTAGGGCAATTCTTTAAAAGGTTGCGAATTTTCATGAACTCTGTTTATGGCCGGTATGCTGAAGTTCCACCTTGTGGAGGAATACCTCACTCGCGGAGTAAAAAGAAATCACGTTTCCAACAACATGCCAGAATTTCGGCACTGCAAGAGCGACAGTGCTCTTCTCTCTACTCGTCTCGCGTGCTGTTTTCTGTGGGCGCATGCACAGAAACACCACCCCGCTGGAACTGTGAAGCGCGCAGTTCCAAACATAGACTTTCGTACCTTTCTCATAAAGTGGGGGATGGCTACTGAAATTAAGCTTGGATTATGTATTGCAAAAGTATAAAGAAAGAATTAAAGACTAAAGGGCACACTATATTGAATATTAAAAATAATAATAAGTGGAAATAGGGGGTGCTGCAGTTCCACAGTGCTTATTACGAGCCGCCACTGTAAGGTTGTAATTCATATGTGGGTAGGATGTCACATGATATTAGTAGCGATGTAGAGGTAGGCCTTTAATACTTATTATTTTTTAGCCCTTGAAAATTTGAAAATTGAAAAACACATTTTAAAAATTCTACTTTTCTAATTCTTGAAGTACGCATCTCCTAGACTATATTGGTACAACTCTTTTCAGATACCGTTCATCACAAATAATTGTTTAATTTTAGATGTAAAAATTTTTTCGCAAAAAATATGGATACATTTGTATATTTTGTAATATGTTAAATGAATGTGTGGACATGTGTGTTGGGACTTACATTATTTGTCTCACAGAGACATCAGTTCAAGTCCACGGATTTTATTTTTGCCAAGAGACAAATGTTGCTCCTGTCATTGGCTTTGACCTTGGGTAGGACCTAAAGCTACAACATCCAGCTCTCGTATCACAATCTCAACAGTTCTGATAAATATGTAATATGTCTGGCAGTATCTGGAAACGGGTTCGTTTTCATACATACGAGATATCTGAAAATTTTTGCGAGCAGAAATATTTTTATGAAACTTTGAAGGTCTTTTATTTCTGTAAAATAAAATCATATATTTAGCGCTAATGTCAGAGGTTTCAAAACCATACAGTTCATAGTTTCGTATCTTTGTAATATAATATTCCATTCTTTCAGTTTACTTATATTGTAGTTCAATTTTCATTGTGCTGTTTCACATGTATTAATTCTTTTGTAACTAAAAGTTATCTAATGATAAAAAAAGATTAAAAATATAAATGAATAAACAGAATATATTTTTAAAAACATTTTATAGTCTCATGTGCGATCTATCCTATTTCTTTTTGGAATTTCAGGGTAAGTATTTTTGAGATTAATAAACATTTGTAGAATCCGACTGCTATAACTAAATCGACCGCATAAAACCCTACACGTAATTCAAAGCCTGAGGAGTTTTGAGTGATATCATCAATGATACAATGCAATACAGGTGATTTAAAGCTATATGGTTATGTAAAGTTTAGTTGTTACATTTATCTATCTGTCATTTTGGCGTAGAGGGAAGGCGACCATCTGCAACGCGTCTTCAACATACCTCAGTACCTCAGGCGTTTGGAACTTTCTCTGAAATCTGAAGATAACATTTTGTTCGATTCTAAACTCTCTTATAACTTTAGTGACTGCGAGAGGTTTTTTCTACTTTGCTGCAGTATCTTCATATAAAAACCTGAAAATTAAATCTTTGAGACATTCCGAAAATTTCACGTTTGTCGATTCAATCTTTTATGTTTAGAATTTCTTTCGAACTTAGGTCGTTGGCAGCACTGATATCCTTCTCATATATTTCAAGATATACGCAAGAACCCCTAAACGCAATGATCAAACATCTACATACTCGTCCACTTTTACTGCATATACTTTTATGCTTCTACTGCATATACTCTATATGCCATTTCCATGTTACACGAACGCTCAGCCAGGGAACTCATGCATGTAAAATTGTTCTAGTGATTCTTTATAAAGTGGTAATCAAAGCAAAAAAGAGCTTAGTTTACTATAAATTTTTACTGCTTCATTACCTGAGTTGCAGAATCTATGTAATAAAGTTTTATTTTCTGAATACAGGCAAGCTATGTGAGTTCGGGAGATTCAGTGACGCAAATTGCTTTATAAAATTCATAAATCGGCTATTTCTAGATATTGAAAGAGAACTATCGAAAAGTTACCATAAAGACGTACTGCGGAGGTACGAAGTTTTCGTTTAATTCTGATCTATCGGTCACTAAATGGCGCCTTTCCAGATCAGGTGCCTTTTTGCGGTGTACCAGCGCAAAACTATCCTTAAAAATTATAATCAAGAAAAGGATAAAGCAGTATGTGAAATATATATTACTTCTTAAGTTTTCATAAACTGATTATTGCTCATGTTGCGGAAATTTCACTGCAGAAAATCAGTAGAAATTTTGTTCCATGCTGAATTTCTCTCGGAAATAGGCACTGAGAAATAATCTGAGTCAATTAATTCAATTTCAAATATTTCTTCGAATTTAATTTGTACCATTGCGGAATTTTTTATGCATAATGTATTACAGCACAACAGGATACTGTTGCGTGCGTACGGGTTCGTAATAGATTGAATGCACAAGCCCGATAAAAGGTTAATAAAAATTTATTCTAATCAAAAGAAATACAAAAAATACAAGTATAACATAATGCTGGAATTTTCCTCAGAGATATTCGCACAATATCACGCATTATAATGAGAAGCTATATTTTAAACTACTAAAACATTAAATAGAGCGCAATCCACAGCGCAGAGAAAGCTAATCAGATCAACAATAGTAACAGTAGTTAACTAAACAACTGAGATGAGATGTTCTTTTTCTGCTTTTTATAGCTTTAAATCGGTCGAGTGAGATACTAGTAATTTCTGCTTCTCGAGATTTCTGGAAGCAAAAGAGTAGAATTACGGTTATAGTTGTATAATTACGGTTATTCAATTTAAATATAAAATACGAGATATCTATTTATTAAATGTTAAATGAGCGTGCTCCTGTATTTTTAATTTTCTGGCGTAGCTTTTTCTTAAAATATGTCTCGCGCTGCATTGCACGGGAAAATAAAACCATTTTAACTACAATTCTACTAAAAATATCTAACTAAATACAAAATTCATAGAAAGTTTGTTCCATGCTAAATTTCTGTCGGAAACAGGCAGTGAGAAAAAATCGAAGTCAATTAATTTGATTTCAAATATTTCTTCGAATTTAACTGGTACCATTGGGGAATTTTTCATATACACTTTATTAAAGCACAATAGGATACTTTATTAATGAGAATTTTTGCTATACTTAATCCATATATAGTACCAGACCTGACGTTTAGAAACAACTTCGAAACAGCTTTCATAAAATTCTGAGTCTTGTTTTAGAAATACAGGGTGCGACAGGAAAACTTCCTTATTTGAAACGCGCCATCTAACGACATTCATTGCGAGAAGGGTGGGGTGGCGCTCATTGAAAAGAGTGGTATCTAAAGTTTTATGTCATGTAGATTTAGTACTGATCATGTAGTGGACGAGAGAGGAGCACGCGTTGTCCGTGGAGTCGTACTTTTCAACGTACTGCATTTTCATCCACATAAATTGGCAGTAGTGCAAAAACTTAATCCACGTGATTTTCTTTCACGAAAAAATGCATGCAAAGCCGTTCTTGACAATACGCCTCATGATGCCCTTGTGTTCTTTAGCGATGAGGCTCATTTTCATCTTTCCGGTTGCAGCATGCTTTAAGCAAAACATGCGATACTGGAGGTGGCACGAATCCCCGAGAATTTCATGAGCAGCTCTTCCATACAGAACATATAACTGTTTGGTGTGCATTGTCCAGAATAAGCATCATTGGACCATGATTTTTTGAAGAACATTTCCGTGGACGCCTTATCTCCTTACGAGACGATTGTCAGTGGCCAGCGCGCTCGCCTGTTTTAGCCTCCATCTGATTTCTTTTTGTGGGGCTATCTGAAATCTCTAACATCCAAAGACTCTGGCTTAACTGAACAACAATATTCATGCTGCTATCGACAACATACCCGTTGATATGCTGGTAAAAGTGGAAAGAAACTTCAAAACTCGACTATCTCAACGCACTGACCAGAACGGAGGCCACGTTAGTGATATTATTTTTAAACCGTAATTAAAAATAAAATAAATAAAAAAAAACTTTAAGTATCTCTCTATAACTTGGAAAAAAATTAAACTGATATCGCGTATACTATTTGTGTTATTCATTTTTAAAATACTGTCGTTTCACTGCCACACCCTGTATTTTGTAACTGACAATACATGTCTACTAATATACGTATTTTAAGACATTAACATATACAGTGGATGGACAAAAATCTGGAAACACCTTGTGAAATGCATGTTTGAAAAGAAAGATTGATTTTAATGAAATATGTAGGCGGCGCTGGCGTTTTTGACTACTGACGCCATCTATACAACTTCGTAAATGTGCGAAACAGTTCAGTTGTTGTCGGAGTACTGTTATGTGAGGTTGTCATTGCATTATGTCGGAGTTAACAGACTTCGAACGTGGGCAAATTGTTGGAGCACGCATGGTAGGTGCTTCCGTAAGCAAGGTAGCCGAGGTGTTTAGTGTTTCAAGAGGTACTGTATCGAAGATTTATTCCGAATATTTAAAAAACGGAAAAACATCATCTGCTAAATCACAGCGCGGACGATAGTGTGTCCTGAGTGATCGTGACAGACGATCATTAAGGGCAATTATGACGAAAAATAAGAAGACCACAGCTGCAAAAGTTACTGCTGAAATGAATGTTGTGTTATCGAACCCTGTGAGTACCAAAACAATTAGAAGGGAGCTTCATAAACAGGGAATTGCTGGCCGTGCTGCAATTGAGAAGCCACTCAATTGCCAGTGATACTAATGCCCGTAACAGGAAAAGGTGGTGTTTAAGTCATAAAGCCTGGACTATAGAGCAGTGGAAGCGAGTAATATGGTCTGACGAGTCTTCTTTCACATTGTTTCCCACTTCTGGCCGAGTTTACGTTTGGAGAACGCCATCTCAAGCCTATAATACAGACTGCTTGTTGCCAAGAGTGAAACATGGCGGGAGTTCTGTTATGGTTTGGGCAGCCATATCGGGTTCTCTGCTAGCCCATGATAACTGTGTTCAGAGCACATGACTGCCAAGAGTTATGTGAACATTTTGGCCGATAAAGTTCATCCCATGGTACAAACTTTGTTCCCCGATGGTGATGGTGTCCTTTCCAAGACGACAAAGCCCCTGTTCACAACAGCTCACATTGTCCAGGACTGGTTTTCTGAGCACGAGGATGATTGTCCCATCTTCCCGGCCACCACGTCACCAGACCTGAATATTATCGAACCGTTTGGGGTCTACATTGGAACGGAAAGTGCGTTCTCGTTATCCACCGCCAACATCGTTATCTGAACTTGCCACCGTTTTGCAGGAAGAATGGTATAATATTCCCTTGGCAAACATACAGGAACTGTATTTATCCATTCCGAGAAGACTGCAAGCTGTTTTGGATGCCAGCGGGTTTCCTACACCATATTAAGCAAAGAAAAATGTTTTTTTAATGGTGTTTCCATATTTTTGTCCAACCCCTGTAGATATATTTTTTTAGAATACATACACAATTTCATCATTTTAGAAAGCTTTCATGAAGATATTCTGTATGAAAGTAAGATGTGAAAATAGTAGATTAAAACATAAAGAAAAGGTAATATACCTGCTGAACCTTGAGATGGATGCCAAGGATTATTGTACCATCCGTTGTAAGTTTGATATTCCGATACAGCGTTGTGCAAGTCATTCAATAGCCATTGCTCAGCAAAAGATTTTGAATTGTGTAAGGATAGTTTATATTCAAAAACTGAAAGAGAAAAGTATCATTAGTAACATCTGTATTTACAACTAGAGAAAATGACAAAAAGGGACTTAAACATCTCACATAATTTCTATTTTTAGCTTTTCGTAACATAAATTTCACAGCTCTCTCAACAAACAGGAAAAGGAGTGCACTGTTAAAGTGTTATCTTTTCAGCAAAACTCTTAATTTCTTTGCTCTTTTTTAATTAATTACAGTCAAAAATCGTTAATCCGAACTCGTCGGGACTTCGGCAATTCCGGATTATCGATTTTTCTGGATTATAGATCATCAGTTTAAATCTGGTAAGATGGCATGCAGAAATTATAAAATTAAAAATATGAAACCGTAATTTTGAAATAAAGAACAATTATGATCTAAAGGGTATCAAAATTTACCAAAAAAAAAAAAGCTTAATATTTATTGTTTACTTTATTAAACATTTCTTTCAATGTAAGTTGTTAAGTTGCTTCGTTTTATGTGATAATACTTTCTCTTTAATTCTATAAACAGACATAATTTCTGTTCAGTTACAAAGTTCCGCTGTTCAAGTCCTATAATTGCTGTGTCGAGAATGCCGACTAATTTGTCAATCGAAATTTTTTCGTTTTCAATAACCTCTGTGTCACTTTCTTCGCTATCGGAAGTGAATTATAATGACGAGTAACTTGATTTAAATCATATCAAAGACGGAGTACATCGAGATGAAATACTACATTTAGTAAGGAATTATAAGACAAATAAAATAAAAACATCTTCCCTGAAGATAAGGATAGTGCTGACATATCAACTTCTAATTCATTGAGCGCCGCGGCGTTTACCCCCCCCCCCCGCAGAGCAGCGTGAAATTGATAAACAGATTTCGGAATGGTTAGAGAAACAAAGGATATGCCTTTATCCATTTTTTGCAGCAATTCCACTTTTTGTTTAATGGACTTCGAAACATACTTTCGCTTTGTAGATCCTTTACATATTAGAAAATATATATCGGAAATTCTATTTGACATAATCCAAAGTTCAAGCTTACTTTTATAAATTGCTCTAACAGTCTGCAAAAATAATAAGCCGAATCCAATTCGAAGATTAAGGAACACGCAATCTGCAACATTAACTGAATTAGATAATTTTAGCTTAGCTTATACCGTCCGTTATACATTAAACGCTCATGCGTAAACGTAATATGCGCATGCGCACACGCATATTCGTAGCCGTAAAGGTCTTACGCGCATGCGTAAACGCCTATGCGCATGCGTCAACGCGACGCATACTCGGAAAGTTTGTAGCTTTGAGGTCCGGATTACGGGTGTCCGAATTAACGACTTTTGACTGTATTTGTAAATAAAATTATTAAAATTCACTGAAAATAAAATGAACTATTAATTTAATGTGCTTTACATAAAGTTGCTAGCTAGGGCCAAAGCAAAATTTGTAAGTTCTATGTACACCTGAAAAGAAAATGTATAAAAGAATTTATTTCATTATGAATGAACTCAGTTCATTCTTTTCAAGCAACAACCAGCTCGTGAATAATTTTTTTTAGTTGTCAAAGCAGGAAGCAAAATCTTTTTACACTTCAGGTGAATAGGTATTTGTATGACGTCATGATATAAATTTAATCTAATATAACAACATTTTCTTAATATCAATAAAAAATTAACTTGGCAATAAAGTATTGCTTCGGTTATTTTAACTTAAAAAATAAAAAAGGGTACTTTTCCGTTTCGCCGGCGCAGGAACTAAAGTCGCCAAAAATAATACAACCGACGCCAAACAAAATATACCCGCTGGTAATCTTTTACGCCACATTTTCAAAACAAGTCGCGGCCATTTTTTTTAATCAGATTGATCGTTTCTTCAATACTGGCATGCAATTACACAGAATTTTTACCAGCTAGTTCAATTTAGGACAATTTATGCCCTAAGTCCATTCGTGGTAATTAATTTAATTAGGGTGCAATCACACCGCTCACCCGGAGGCGAAAATATAGGAAAGGCAAAGCGAAGGGCTACGTTCATCAATTCTAATGAGAATACACTAGCGAAGTGAAGCACTGCTATTTTATATAATTTCTGAGTAAGCAATGAGTACGAATGAAATAATTCTTGCATTTAATCTTGTATTCCATAATAAGATTTAAATTGAAAATAATGTAGATAATTACTGATAGAGTTCGATTTTTGTAGTGAAGTTTACGTGAGATGAGATCACTTGGGGTCACGTGATATGAACCGGCGAATCATGATGTTCTATCATTAAAGCATAGAGAATTCACGTCTTTTCCCTACTACGTCCAAAATGGATGAAAAACCAATGAAAATTTGGGATTTTTCCAGAATAGAGGAAGAACGATTCTTTCAAGCGAAAAGCGTTTTGCCTAAAATTGCTACTTGTGAAATCATGAAATTGTATTTTGGAGACGAAATTCAATGGTGCTTGTCGCGGTAAAAGTAGTATATGGAAAAGCACATAGTTTGAGTCATCGAAATTGAGTTTCTTGAAGTGTGTGAGGTTTATTTATGGTTAACTGTGTTTATTTATTAACTTCAGTTAAATGGTGTGAAAAGCAGTTTTAAATCAGTCACGGAACAGTTGTGGACTGGAATAACTACACGCGCGAGGTTTGTGTGGATTCTTTGCTTAAACGCCAACAACGGAAAATAGGAGGACCTGGTATGATCGTCGAAGTGGATGAGAGCATATTCACGAAGCGCAAAAAGATTGAAGGAAGGATTCTACCACAACAGTGGATCTTTGATGGATATTCCCGTGAAACAAACGAATGTTTTCTTGTGCAGGTGCCAAATCGATTCATGAGCATTATATTAGAAACAGTTAAGGAAACTATCGAAAATGGAACTATAATATATTCCAATTTGTGTAAATCATATTGCACTGAAAAACTGGAAGAGCTCTTTCAAAGGGAACCATAATCGATCCCGAAACTGGAACGCACATACAAAAAGTAGAAAGACTGTAGCGTAGCGCCAAATGGCGAAATAAGAAACACAGAGGAAAGGCTCATCATCATCTGCAAAGTTACCTCGCGGAATTTATGCGGAGAGGAAAACAAAGGACCCATTTGGAAAAATAATTTGAATGATATTAAAATGTTTATGCTTCCAAAGTAAAAAATTCTTAGAACTAACATCTGTGTAGAACATTTTTTATGTGTATAGTCGTCACTAAAATCCATCTGAAGAGTTATGCAGCATCAATAACACTTTTTTATGTGTATACTCTGTTGTCAACAATAAAGTCTACTGGGCGAGATTTGCGCCGGCGAAATAGAAAAGTACCTAAAAAGCTGCTAACAGCAGCTATTTATTTAAAATGCGGACATTAACAAAACATTTTCGACATACAATGACGTCACATGTAATTGCTTGCTTTCTGCAATGTCAGAATATGACCTTATATAATATTAATATGTTTAATGCTTGGCAATGCTATTTTTATTTTAAATTTTGTAAAACTTACAAATTTTTGATTAACAAACTCTACGATTTGAAACAAGCAGTGGTAACACTTTTCGAAATAAAGCATTTTTATCTCCAGCGCGCAAGACTGTTGCCCACTTGGAAAAATGAGTGCGAAAATTAGCGTTTTCAGGGTTTTTAATTAATGTCTCGGCTGATTAAAGTCGTACGAAGATGAGAATGGTCAAAATGGCGTCCCAGGAATTTTTTGAATCCGGGGATACCTCTCTCGAAATTCCTTTACTTTAGCCCTCTTTTACACTTTTTTTAAAATTCTTTTTTGTCTTTTATTACTTTAGCTGAAATCAAATTGGGCTGCGTGCTTGGGCCACAACAGATACAACAGCATCTATGTTGTAGCGTAACAGTGCTTAAGTGAACAAATGCTATGCTTCCTGCCAGACGTTTTCTCACTGGATAGTGGTGGACGTAGAAAGTCGACTAACTTATGGTAAATAGACAATATGCCTATCCCCCGTCAACAACAGGTACAGGTAGAAACTATACCAGTATCTCTCTAGTACCACAGGTGAATGAGGTATTAACTGTTAAGCTTCCGCCCCCTACCTCAATTTAGAGGAAGAACACTCATGGGCTCTTCTACCTCTCTTCATATACCACCAATCTTCCTAGAGGACCTTCAGCTTGCCGTGAATTTTGAGTGTCTCTTTGCCGCACAGGCACTATACGCTGACAAGCATCTATGTCTTCTCAGGCATTCGACCTCGGGCCAATCTGTGTAGAAGTACCTCTGTGAAAGGGAAAAAATTAGGAAGTATAAAATTACCTATTGTACTACCCAGTATTCCCCGCCTCCTAGTAGCCAGCCATAGTAAATTATGACTTCTCCGTTTTAGTAATGTACTGGAACAATGAATAATATAACCAATGTTTTATCAAGTATTTTTGCGGTAGTTTGTTTGCATAAATAGTCCAGTTTGTATGGTAGCCAGAACATTCAGTATTGTGTTAACATGCATAAACTGTATAGAATTGAGGCTTTTAATTGCTTTATTGTTCATATACTGTATGTTATCCAGTTTTGTTTGCAACCAGCGCACTATTTTTGTAAATACAATATGGAAGAGATTATGTTACTACAACTGTATTCTAATTATTTGATATATAGGTAACACAAGCGCATACGCGAACCTAGAAATATACTTAGTACTGACTTTGCAAGCTGTAGTAACACTATCTACATTGGCAACATAAAAATTAAGATTTATATGTCCATATGCGATTATGATAGTAAAAGAACAACGTTAACTGACTATGTAGCTTAACTGTATATATACATATATATTTTAAATGGGCTTTGCTTGCCAATGCATTCTTCCCCCTTTTTTTCTTCTTTTTTTAAAATATTTTGAATTCAATACCCCATCTGGAACTCTGGCCCTACAGGTGATAGGGTTTGGCTATTATAGTGAAAATAGGCGATATTATGCTGTTAGACGTTTCCGAAAAAAGTTAAGATCAGTGATCTTAACTTTTTTTCGGTGGGATTTAATATCCCGATGAATAAC